ACACCAAGAGTAATGGGATTAGGATCCATAGCCACCGACACAGGAGCCACTAACTCACACCCCTCCATACTTAACGGTTCATTCACTGCATTGGAAACGGGAACAGAAGTAGTAGGGGGAGAGACAACAAGAGAGGAAGAAGAGCACACACCCCTAAGGTGACCCAGGCATTTACACGACACACAGAAATCAGGAAACGCTTCAAATTGCACCTGTTGTATGTACCCCGAATTCTCAGGCCTAAGCCAGATATGAGAAGGAAAGTTTTTAGTGATATCTAACTCCACCAGAACACGAGCAACAGACGGTCGAGACCCTACAAAAGTGGCGGAATCCACTTTGAGCGGCCTCCCGAACAAAGAGCCCACAACATGAAGGATCCGAGGGGTGAACAAATGTGGTCTAAGTTTTGGGAGAGAAATCCAAATCGGGATAACAGGGGTATCAAAACCCACATCCAGTAAATGAGACCATTTTGAAAGCTTCATGAAACAATTAAAAACTAAATATGAACGATGACAAAAAACTCTACTATAATCCAGCTCATTAGACAGTTTAATCAGGACATGCATCTGATCCAGAACAGTTACAGAAAACTCTGAGTTAAGCTTAAGAGAAAAGAAAAATTTACGAATCGAGTCGAGAGATGGTTGCTTAGTCGGAAAAGAACCAACTAAAGCAAATTGAAAGGGCTTGGCAAGAGCATCAATTTTATCTTCTGAAATCCACAGAGCGGGTAACCCACGGACGATGGTGGCACGGAGATCTGGGAAACTAGCATTAGATGAAACACTAGATAAAGCTTCCGCAAAAGACCGAGATTTGAAAGCATCAACCAAAAACCCAGGGTCAGCCACCCGGCCAACCACCATACCGGCAACAGCCGGATGAAAACCCCACGGTAGAGCCAAAACCGAAAAAAGAAGCAACAAAACAAGCAAAGAAGAGAGAGACTACCCGACAACCAAGCGGAGATCCACCCAATCGAACGGAGGAGTTAGGGCAAAAGCCCTAGCAGAGCGAAAAGACGAGAGCTAGGGTCGGCGAAAAAAATTATTTCAAGATCTAGATAGCTCTGATCTATTTTGATATTCAAAACTTGAGGATAAATATTACAAAAAAATATTACAAAAAAATAAATTTAAAAACAAATAAGAAAAATACAACAATAATTAAATTTAAATATTTAAAATGATAAACAAAATTGATTCAAAATATTTGATTAAATTCATTTTGAGATCAATACAATAGAGATGATTAATAAATTAATCAATATTTGTATTTTATCCATCTCAAAATAAATCTAACTCATTTTTATCCTATGTTTGACACTGAACGTACATTGAATGATGGCCTAAATTTATAACTGTTGAGACACTCCAACCATTCAAGGTCATCTTTTTCGGTCGAGCTTTCAAGGTCATCTTCGCTCCAGCTTGCATCGCATGCAACTTCAATGTTATTACTATTACCATGGAGTTCTGCCAAATTTATTTTCAAAGATATAGTCAGCTGTCCAGGTCTATATTTCTCACAAGACCCACAAATATTTAGATTTGTTTCTCCACTTGCTTTCATGCTGTCAAATTCGATAGGTCGTAGACGACGTTTAGGAGGTGGGCTGATGTCAGAACCGGACTCAAAAATGTGCTTTGGCAACCATAATTTGATTCTCTTTAATTTGATGAATGGAGGCCTTTCATCGAGAATATAGAACTTACAATCTCTGCTAATAGCATAAAAGCGGCCATCACCAGCAAGGGAGATATCTATTATGCTTTTGCTTTCTTTCATCACAAGGCTCCACCTTTGACAATCATCGTCTGCATGCCTGCAGAATACAAATATGTTATCTAGAAAACTCATTGTTTTATCCTTTATCGTAACATTGCAGGCCACACCAATGCTTGCGTCAATGCTCGAAGAGACAACTACCTTCCAGACGTGTATGCAATCTGCATTAATGTGAACGGTTGGTTTTACCTTTTTATAATGACGGAGTAACTTTGGGTATAAAGGGGGGAATATGAGTTTGCGTTTTGATACAGGATCAAAAAGAAGAATAATTCCATCGTCGTGGGTTAGAAAGATAGACCAACCATTTGAACAACCAACAAATGACATGGGATCAAATGATGAAAAAGGAAAGGAGATGACGTGAGGACGACTTTTATCATTGATGAAGTCCGAGTCCAAATAAAAAATGACTTCGGTTCTATGTCTGAAATGTACTAAGTAAAGCGGACAAGGATTCGGGGTAGGTGAGGCATAACGCCATTGGGAGCAAACTAAGCGAAAAGACAAAAGATCGGCATTTTGTAGCTTATTTCTAATGATTATCAATAGGTCAAGAGGAAGATCAGACCATGATGGAGACATTGAATATGGGAAATAGAAACTTCGTATGAAATTGTTTAATCTCGAATAAAGAATAATCATCATTTAGTATGCCCTCTCCTTTTAAATATACAAAATTATTCCCTTTCTTGGCAATACGACAGATACCCTTAAATTCCATTGTTTGAAAGCTGGTAGAAATTGATGGAGGACACATTTTTGCAGAGACCTAAATAGTAATTGCTATTTATTATAGAATAGCTTTATTTTTTAGATGATGATGAGTCAATCTCTATTTAGAGCAAATTTGTAAGGGAATTAAAAAAAAAAGTTCTAACAACCTTCTCAAAGTTACTAATTATAGAGAAAACGAATGTGTAAGATAATAATGATGCAACAAAAATACTTCTAGAACTTCTTATAATTGCTATTTGATCTTAATGATGATTCCAATTCAATCATGCCAATTTGAATGCAATTTTCGTTTTCATTGATTTTTATTTTACATTAAATATATAAAAATTCTAGACCTTCAAGCAATCGCTCTAAAATAAATTTGAGAAAATGTTGAGCAAAAATATTTTTTCTATTTGAAAATAAAGAAATAAATTTCTATATAATATGTAATAACTATAACAAAACACAAAATATTAATTTTTTTTATTATTATTTTTTATATATTTTATCATATGTGTTCACACCATAGTGAATTTTTTTTTTTTGTCACGCAATAAGCTTTTAAATCTACTCAATCTTAATGATGATTGAGTTGGGATATCACAATATTTTCCAAGTTTATTTGAGCCACATTCAAGAGTAGAATTATGTTTCGTTTGTTGGGACAATTTTTTATTATTTTATAGTAAAAATTTTTAATTCAAAAAATTTTTGTATAAAAAAGCTTCTTTAAAATGTACTAGGAAAATTGTCCCAAATGAAGCCTTAGTACAAAGTTGCCTCATGGTTTGTTTGTGGCAGATTTTTTATTGTTTTCTAAAACATCTTTTTTAATACAAAAATGTTTTGAAAGAAGCAAAAAAGTAGCGTCTAAAAGTTGCCCCAAATGAAGCCTTAGGGTTTGTCTTGCTGGAAAAAAAAATGCAGAGTGAAATGAAATTCAATGCAAACTATTTAAAATGTTTTGAGTTGTTTGAACAAGTATAAAGCAAATATTGATGATTATTATTTTTATTTATTTGATTTAAAGGTAAATGAATGTAGTGTAAAACTCAATGATGATAGTGAGGGAAAAATCGATTACAAACATCTATGTCGGATTTGATTATGTGCATCGGCTTTACTGGCGACGACGTGCATACGCTATGATGGTGAATGTAGGCATCGATTTTTTTGTTGATTGCGAGGGTAGGGGTCGATGTTGGTGATGTGCAATGAACTTATTAGTGTCGGCGAGCATTAGTTTTAATGACCTTGTTCATGATTTCATTGATATCTATGACATCAAGCTTGATAGTGATGAGAGGCGACAACCAGCTTATTGACACCACGACCATGCATTGACATTGTTTATAATTGTAAAAGTCTATATTTTGACACTTTCAAATAATTTTTTAGGAATCATTATAAATCCAATTTGCAAACCATCTTTGCTATAATATAGATATTAGTATACTTTAGTTATGATATTTTCCTTAATTTTATTGGTGGCCGTTGTAAAAAAATAAAAAGTTTTCTATTTAATTTCAATTCCTTAAAAAATTAATGCATATCAATACAATTGTGGTTTCTGGGATCATTAAGTGTTCATTCTACAAACGATTTAACTAGAGTTTTTTATATATGTTAAGATATTTTATGAATATTTTTTCATAATTTTTGAATCCATGGATTTAAAGATATAAAAAAATTTTATAAGAGTTTTATGTTATAACCTAAACCATTAATATAATTACATTCATATCATTAGATTATTTAATAATAAATATTTTATTAAAGCTTCATTTCCCCTTTATAAAGTTAGGAGCATTTAATTCGTCTCTTGAAGTTGTATCATATAATATTTTCGGAGAAATAATTGAGGTATGATAATGTCAGATGAACGATGTCAGCTAGTAAATGATGCTCGAATGAGAGTGGTAAAATAAAAAAGGCCAAGCGAATATGCTCGAGTGAGAACAAGTTTCTAACTAAATTTCATGTGTTTGACCTATATTCATTTGGAGACGAATTGAATCACTTTTGACGTCGATGATTTCATTTCCTTGATACGTTAATTTTTTTTTACTTTAAGTTTGTTGAAATAAGAGTTTAGATCATTTTCAATTAAATTCGATAAATTTTCAAAATAAATAATGCATCAAGATTGATGTGGATGAATTTAAATTGAGTCTTTGGAGAGGCGCAACACCTCCAAAGAAAAAATTACGAAAAAAATCTCAAAATTGGGATTAAGTATTGGTTTATGTCTATTTGTACATTTTACATATGTATGATCAATTTATAATAAATTAATTAAGTAACTTTATATTTTAAATTTTAACTCTTATAATTTTTAGAAATCTCAAGGCTTTGAAAATCGGACCGGATAATGAACCGGAAGAAGGAGAGGTTAGGGTTCGATGGTTAGACTTTGATCGAAACGGATAACGTAATAAATACTTATTATATTTAAATATTATAGTAATAACATAACTATTTATAAATATGCTACAAAAATCAAACATAATTATAATTTGGGAAACCCTAAATTCATATGAGATATAAATGACTAGTATTTATTATCAATGAAGACAATATATGATGTATTATAATACAAGTTGTTATCATTATTATCTGAAGAATTTGATGAAGGTGAAGCAACAATTAACATAAGCCTCGTGAATAACTAAAATTAAGATTTTATTTGAAGCTGTTTTTTTGTTGCTTTTTAAACTATATTTTTAGTAAAAAGATATTTAGCACAACAAATTTTTGTACTAAAAAAAATTAAAAAAATAATAAAAAAGTCATCCGAAATAAAATCTAAGTTACATTCTTCCTTTGCCTTCCAAGACTTTATTCAATGTCACGAAGAATATTGAGCGCAAGCAACAATTACGGAATAATTGATGGCACATATTTAATTGGTCCCAAAAAAAAAAAAAAAAAAAAAACCAATATAGCATATTCTATTAAAAGAAAATGAATAGATCGGATATGTAACACATCTATATTATTTTGATATTCTAAACATGAAGATAAATATTACTAAAATTGCACTTAAAACAGATAAGAAAAACATAAAAATAATAATATTAAAAAAAAATATTTAGAATGATAAAACAAAAATGAATCAAGATATTTGAATTTTTTTTTTTTTGAGTTTAATACAATAGATGTTTAATTAATCAAAATTTTGTGTTATATTTATCTCAAAATAAATCTAACACAAGAACTTTGAGTGATGTGCCCTTAGCGACGGAGTGAAATAATATTTGGAACGAAATGAAGATTTCATAAAATCGCCCCACTTAGCTTCGCATGCAACATTGACGTTGTTACTATCTCCACGGAGTTTGGCCACATTTATTTTCAA